AGCTATAATATGATGCAGAAACTGTCTAAATAAATGTGTTGAACAAAAGCTATATTAAATTGCAAAAATGAATAATGTCATCTTGCCAACCCCTAGAAAGATTCAGACATAGATTCATTGAACAGCATAAAATCGTGGAGATTTGTGATCCCTCTTGCAATGAACTTTAGTTTTAGTAGAGTATTTGTTGAGCACATAGAGGTATGCTGGCAGGCAGGTAGGAAATAGTTTCGAAGCATCACTCTCCGTGCAATCCTAAACAGTGTTATACCCTGCTAAGTCCATATGACTTTAATGGGTTTGGAAACGTTTAATTCTGTTTAGGATGTTGCAAAAGAATCTCCTAGTATAAAAGAACCCTCTTTTACAAGCCAGAATTATATACATATTGTTTCATAGCACCTTCATTTTCCACCGGTTTTCCCTCTCTCTGTCCTGTCGAGTTTGCAGAAGGGGGAAACTAAGCCAAGACAGGAAACTGGGTGTAGTGATGAGAACCTTGAAGCAATACATACATTTCTTTCAGGTAACTCATCCACTATGAACATTTATGTCATTGTACTTTGACGATTCTACAAAAACCTAGTATGATCAGTGTCCTAAGACACACACATACACCATGGAATTGGAGGTACAGAATAGTAGTAAGACTGAGCAGAAAAAAACCTAATAGGATCCGATCCACTGTTTTCCTTTCCAATAGAGAAGTAAGCTGCATTACCTGCATCATTGGTATGACTGGGACAAGGCCCACAATAGGTTGTCTTCACATTCAGTGAATGTTATTGAAGTCTGCTTGGCTTGTGTGGTTCCATCATCTGTCACCCTTTCTTTGTATAATAAAATACAATGTGGTAGATGTAGCAATACCTTCTTTGTATCTGTACTGTTGTCCCATAAGTGAACCAGTATGTACTAGCTCTCATTTCCCCACATTCATATATATATATAAGGGATTCCCTAGGGACCTATGCCAATGGGGCAATTAAAATACCTATACTCTCCCAGGAGCAGATTATGTAGTAGAGATGCAATTATTTTCTAAAGGGAAATATATTCTTTGTGACAGTATAAGCAAGCTAATAAGTTATGGTGTTGACTGATATCCTATGCAGAGGTCATGTTAAGGAGTGATTGTGCCTGTGCTAAACTATTGATTCCAAAAAATAAATAAATAAATGGTGTTACAGAGAGATAATTTTTTTCCACCTAGCCAATCAACAAGCAGATCTTCTGGGTGATCTGGAGCAGTGCTGCCCCCCAAATAAGCCCCAAACTGGCTGGCCAGCCCTGTGCTGCTCAGCCCAGGACCAGAGGCCAGTGGCAACTCCTTATCATCAAGCCTGGACTGGCAGAATGGCTGGCTCAGGGGAGGGCAGGGCTTAGATGGGTCAGGGTCAAGGTGGCTGAGAAGGCATCCCACCAAAGCCAGGGGAAGACAGCCAACAGGGGGCAAAAGATGATGAGCAGCTGGGTGTGGTCTGCCCAAAAAGACCAATCTCCACCCGGGGGGAGAGAAGAGCCAGGGTCAGACAGGTGGACTGCATGGGGCAAGGTGGCCTAGCTGTCTTTGAATGGTAGCTCCAGGAAGAGACCAGAGAGGAAAGTGTTGGCCTCCCGTGTGGAACACCAAGGGCTGAGCACAACACGGATGAGGCGCAACCAGGAAATACTATCCCCCTCCTCCCGTTCTGAGGCCTGTGAAGCCTCCTTCGGTGCAGGGACAGAACAGAAGAGTCCTAAAATGGGCTGTCAGAGTGGGAGCAGCCTCACATTTCTCTAGAAAACACAGAACCATGTGTCGCCCATGTGGGAACCACCCAACATCTCCTTTGCCCACCTCAAGAAGAGTCCCATGATTGCCCCCCCATGCCCAAGTATGAGCTGTTCTACTGAATATCTAGGAAGATTTGGCATCATCATCATCATCTGTCTCCTGGGCTGGGCTGTGGTGAAGAATGTCAAAGTAAACTCTGCCAACCTTCAGTTGCACATCTGCAGGTAAACCCAGGGAGGCATTATTGGTATGCTTCTTTTGTATGGAGGGTGACTGAGGTTTTGTAGGGCTTGCCAGCTTTGGGTTGAGAAATACCTGGATATATGGGCGGTGGAGTCTGAGGAGGGTGGGGTTTGGGTAAGGACTTTCCGGGGGGTATAATTCCATATAGTCCACCTTCCAAAGTGGTCATTTTATCCAGGTGAACTGATCCCTGCTTCCTGGAGGTCAATTGTAATTGTGGGAGATCTCCAGCTCGCAGATCTCCCACAATCTTCTTACAGGGGCAAGTGTAAGCTCTTGGAGGAGTGTCTACATTAGGGACATGTTGCCTAATATGCAAAGGAGTTCCTGCTTCAAAAAGAGCCCTGAATTTGATAAATAAATAAATTTTCATGAGCTTACACAGTGGTTTATGCTATGCACCATCTTTCCCTCTAATTGAAATCTTAACCCCTGACTCCTCCTCCCCTGTCTACCACACAGAGGTCATTTCCTGCAGGAGCGCACAGGAGTGGAGCTCCAGCAGTAAAGGTCCCAGGGGGCAGGGACATGCAAGAAGCCCCGCCCCCTGCTTCTTCTCTCCCTCTTTCTTTCCCTCTTTCTTTCCCTCCTTATTTCCTTCTATTTATTTACTTCTTTTTCTTTCTTTTTTCTTTTCCTCCTTTTTTCCTTCTTTCTTTCCCTCCTTCTTTCTCTCTCTCTGCACAGATCTCTGTGAGGGAAGATCTGTGCGAACCCCCCAGCTAGCAGTCCAAAACAGTCCAGTGGCACCTTTAAGACCAAGTTTTATTCAGGTACAAGCTCTCCCTCCTCTGCAAAGACAGATCTGCATATCTGTCGTCTCCTCCCCCCCCCATAGCTAGAAATCCAAAACAGTCCAGTGGAGCCTGAGCAGTGAGTGTTACCTTCTGACTTCCCATGATGTCAGGGGGAGTGGTATATGCAAATAAGTTATGCTAATGAGTTATGCTAATGCGTTCCTGCACCTTTTTTATACAAAATGACCCCTGCTACCCCAGGCTATGTTTGACTACCTCCTGTAATGATCAGCCTAAAATCTGGCCCTGCCCTCAAGGCCCTCTGCCAATCTTCTTATCCCTCATACTCATAAGGGTTCTCCCTGCCCTCCCTCAGCTGCAGATGTTACCAGCTACCCATTCCTCACAGATGATCTATAGGGTTAGACTCTCCCTATTAAGGGGACCCTGTGACATCTAGGCTTGAGACACAGTTCTTGCCACTGGTCCACTAACCCCCTCACCTCCACGTTCCAAAGTGTTCCTTCTCCCTGTCACCAGACCAAGTTTCCTCCTAGCATCTCTCAGCCACAGAGGGTATAACAGAATGTGTCAAACAGAAGTATTGAATTTTGAACTTTCAGAAGATATTACTTGAGAGAACATCCAGGGCTACAATCTGTCTCTTTTAAGTTCCATCACACTCATTAACATATTTTTTAGAAAATATGCATAGGATTGGATTGTAGATTGCATGACATCAATGCAGTCCTTGGACCTTTTAGATTTTAAATAATGCATCCTGAAAGTGCAAACTTTGAGGTCTACGAAGTAAAACTGCAATTCTGATTCTGGGATCGAGTACTACATCTTTACAGTTTAATGACATTACTTTTAAAACACTAAAGCAATTGTAGACATTGAAATATCTTGAAATATTACCTCACCTATTTTTCAATGAACTGTGACAGCCAGGCTCTGCTATACTCAGCCATTTGCAAGTCTCTTCTTTCTTTATCACTAGTCAAAAAGCTAGTTCTAGCCCTGACCTGGATAGCCCTGGCAAGTGCAATTACGTCAGCTCTCGGAAGCTAAGCAGGGGCGATCCTGGCAAGTACTTGAATCAGAAATCTCCAAAGAATACCAGGGCCAGGAGGCCAGAGGCAGGCTATCGAACCACCTCTGTGTCCCAGTAGGGTTCGCCATGACTTACAGGCATGGGCACACACATGCATACACACAGACACAAATTCAAAAATACCTTTAAAAAGAAAAGCTAGTTCTACATTTTGAAAAATGCAGTGTTAATTGAAATTTACAGCACAACCCTACGCAAGTCTCCTATACACAGAATTTAGGAACATTAGAGTTTATGGGGCTCAATCCCATCTAAGTGAGCATCAAATTACAACCTTGATGTTACCAATTTTTCCAAGGAATTCTAACTTGAATACCTTTACCATAGCTGGCCTTTGAAGAGGCACACAACGACAATATATCAGCATAAAATATCTGCCAGATTTATAGTGCAATCCTAAACAAATCCTAAACTCAGAATCCCACTTACTTCTACTCCCAGATCATACACCTGGGAAAATTGCACTGTCAGTTGTAAAATCTAGTATCATATTTGAAAGTTTTGCCCACAGTTCAGTGAAGCCATAAGTCTGTATAATACTACTTCTAGAGAGACAGTTCACTTGTCTATCTAGCCCAAACATCTTTGATCCTTCAACCCACAAGACAGCCTAATCAGCCAAGAGTTGCCTGGACCTCTCAAGCAAACATGATCCCCGAAACTCTTGTTGGTGGCTGTGAGAACTGTGATCTTCTGCTGGTGGATCCAGTTCATAGAAAACTGGTCAAAGTGCATAACAGCAAGCCCAAGTAGTGTACTTTCTCCAGGTACACTCATCAGGAATCCCTGCTTCCCTAGAACAAATGAGAGCAGACAGGAGTGTTGTGGACCTTGGTGTAACCAACCACAAGGAGAAAATTTATTTGTTCTCTGCTTCAGTTAAATAATAATAATCTTGTTCATTTGACCATATTAGACCATTGTGTTTAAACCTGTAGCCTACTGACATCTTTTTTAACAGGAGGAGTCAGTGATTGAATCCAGGTCTTTTTACATACATGTACATGACTGAATGCTGCACTTTCCCCCCATGCATAGTTAGGAGTGATAATAATAGAAATTTGATGAAACTAGAACTAATAGACTTTGATTAGCAGCAAAAAAACGAATTAAATAAATCATGGTTTCAGTCACAGATGCATAATTTCTTTTGTGTCACAGAAAACCTCCAGAACTGACATACTATTTTTCTAAGACTGCTCCTTACTTCTTTGTTCCTTAGGCTGTATATGAAAGGATTGGCCATTGGCGTTAGGATTGTATACAAGAAAGAGAAGACCTTATTGAGATCTTTGAACGTCTCCGTTGTTGGCAAGACATAGACAAATATTAAGGATCCATAAAAAATGGAAACTACAGTGAGATGGGAGGAGCAGGTGGAAAACGCCTTCTGTCTTCCAGTGATGGAAGGGATTTTCAGGATTGTTGTGATAATAAAAACATAGGACGCCACAGTTATGAGAAATGTAGGTAGAATCCCTATAGACGATGTTATAAAAGCTGCCGTTTCCACAACCTGGGTGTCACTGCAGGAAAGTCGAACTATAGGGGTGAAATCACAGAAGAAATGGTCAATTATATATCCATTGCAAAAGTTAAGCTGTGAAACCAAACATGTTAAGATGGTTATAAGAAGTAGCCCAATTATGCATGATACTGAAACAAGCAGGATACACATCCTCTCATTCATAAGTGTGGCATAATGCAAAGGTTTACATATGGCCAGGTAGCGATCATATGACATAGCAGCCAAGAGGTAACATTCTGTGGCTGCCAGAGTAGTAAAGAAATGCATCTGAAGAATGCAACCCAAAAGCGAGATGGTTTTGTCCCTTGTGACAAAACTGGCCAGCATTCTTGGTAATATTGTTGAAGTGTAGCAGAACTCCAAAAAGGCCAGATTTGCCAGAAAGAAATACATGGGAGTATGGAGGTGCTGTTCAACCATCACCAGGACAAAAATGAGAAGATTTCCTGACAGAATCACAATGTAGATAGCTAGAAATAATAAGAAAAGGAGAATGTTCAGATCCTCAACATTGCCAAACCCGAGGAGGATGAAGGTGGTGACAGCAGTTCTGTTTTGCCACTCTGAGTTTTTCACATGCTGCATCTGTAAATAAGAGATCATATACTGAGTACTGGAAAAGATTAGGAATTAACTCCCTCCATTTCCCACTTTCTTTCATACCCACTGCTATTCAGATCAAGACCTTTAGAAGAAGAGTTGGGTTTTATACCTTAGTTTTCACTACCTGAAGGAGTCTCAAAGTGGCTTACAATCACATTCCCTTCCT